CGGGTAGGCTCGCGTGTCTGGCTTTGCTTGGGACTCGGCGTCTCGGGAACTTTGGCCCCGCCTGGCCCTGTCCCCGTTTTCCCTCCCTGTGCCTTGAAGGCCCCGTCTTTAACTTTAACAAACAGAACACGCAGGAGCACGGCAGAACACACAGGAGCACGGCAGAACGCACAGGAGCACGGCAGAACACAGGAGCAGGAGAAACACGGCAGAGCACGGCAAAATAAGCAGGAGCGTGGCAGTCAACGCAGGAGCATAGCAGAACAGCAGAACACACAAACACATAGGAGCACGGCAGAGAAAGCAGGAGCGCGGCAGAACAAACAGGAGCACGACAGAGCAGGACCATGGCAGAATACACAGGAGCACGGCAACACAGGAGCACGGCATAACACACAGAAGCAAGGCATGGCACATAATTTCTATTCATACAGCCGCACCCACAGGCACACGCACATAGGCACGCGCACACAGGCACACGCACACAGGCACAGGCACACGCACGCGCACACGCACACGCACACGCACACACAGACACAGACACACACGCACACACACGCGCACACACCGAGAGGCAACATACGTTCACGCAGACCGCAGGAGCACGGCAGAACAGCATGGCATAACACATCAGAGCCGCAGACCACGCACGGACACACATGCACATATTCTACGCACGCACGCGCACTCGCAAACGCACGCACGCCATGACATATCTGCGTGGCAGACCAAGAAGAGAGCATACTTCACATACCTAGTGGGCAAAAGCGACGCTTCCCGTTCTTGTCTGGTCAGGTTTGGGCGGTGTCTCGGGGGCCGGCCAAGAGGGGGTTGTGATGACTAGGACCATCGAGGATACAACTGCCCCTAACACTGATAACGGAGTGAAGACGGAGCCTTCTTGAGGGCCCCGTCCTTGCATTTGGGGGATGATGACTTAGGGGGGTGATGGTTGGGGCCATGATAGGATGAGGCCGATCGGGGGAGGAAAAGGTACCCATACCTCTATCTTTCGCCCGTTTTACCCCTTTGGGGCCTCCTCGGAGGCCCTCGTTGCCACCGCTGGATTCACTTCGAAATCCTGGTCATAACGCACCCCGGGAGAGGTCCGGGGAGTAGCAGTATCGCTGCCTATTGGTTTCTCCAGCCGAGGTATACGATCGGGGTCGGTTCGGGGAGGGTACCCTACTGTTTTTCGTGCTTGTTGGGCGCCGTCTTGCGTCCTGGGGATGGTGTCCTTGGATGTGCTGTGTATTCTGGCCGGTGGAGAATCTCATGCGTTTGGAGAATATGTTCCTGTTCTAGGCCCGACTGTAGGGGGGCGATAGCGGGGGCCATGATATCTCCTCTGATTTCATGGCGCCGGTTCTTATTTCGATACGTCCCGCCCCCCCGTTGGGCCGCGTACGTGCCGCCAGCCATGATTTGCGCCCCCGCTCACGCACGCCCCCAGATTTCGTGGGCCGTTTTGGTCTCGACGCCGTGTCGTAGGATGGGCGGGACGGAGGGAGCACGGCGAGGGATCGTCCTCCTCCTCCTCCTGCTCCTCCTCCTCCTCCCTCCTCCTCCACCTCCTCCACCTCCTCCTCCTCCTCCTCCTCCTTCTCCTCCTCCTCCTCCTCCTCCTCCTCCTCCTCCTCCCTCCTCCTCCTCCTCCTCCTCCCTACCTCCTCCTCCTCCTCCTCCTCCTCCTCCTCCTCCTCCTCCCCCCCCTGGGAGAACCCCCCCCTGGGAGAACGAAGACGAGACGAACACCAGCACCACTAATCTTGGGCCAGCCGCGGAGGAGCTGCCGACCGAGATCCTCGCGGGCTGGCGGCCGCTCCGCCGGCTCCCCTTGCTGCGTTGTGGCACGCGCAGGGCTTCTGAGAAGTCCCGCCGCCTTCTGAGGGGGCCTTCTCCCTCTCTCACTTCCCCCCCTCGCCCGCCGCCGAAGTCCACCCCTCGATCCTCGCGCTGGCCCCCCGTGGGCGCGACGGGCCTTGCGGCCGCGCCTCGGGCACCTGCGCCCGACGCGCGGCGGTGCCTCGCGCCACGGGCAGGAGGGCACCTCGGGCCCGAGTTGGAGGCTACTCTGCATCTTCGGAGGACTTTTCCTGTCCTGGGAATGGCAGTCTGCCGATACTCCGACGTGGGGTTGACGCGGATGTCGACGCGGATTCGACACGGACCCGACACGGATTCGACGCGGGCTCCGCGTGGAACGCGGCGCGACGGGACAGACGACAGACAAGGTCTTCCGAAGACGCGGCACGAGGGAGGCTCAGATTTGGGCGCTGCGATTTTTTTCACAGCGGGCGCTTTCGCCTGGCTTCGGGACCTCGGGCCATCGCTCCGGTTCTAATCAGGAGGAAAAAACACACAGACACAATTGATCGTCGATCCCCCAGAAAATATAGGAAAATATGGGAAGTGGGGGGGAAGACAAAAACCCAGAAACTATGGGGAATCTTTTTATTTGTGTGTATTTATTTGTGTGTCCTGGGGCCCCTTCATCTAAAAATGGTACACGGCGATGGGGTGTCTTGGGTTCCGGGAGTGATGGTTCGCGAGGCTGCACTTGTCTCGCGGCGTCAGGTCTCGGGGGAGGAGGCGTGGGAGGGCGAGGCACGCCCGCGCCACGGCCAACATCCTGCCCCTGCCCCACCTGTGCGCCTCCTCTGTCCGCGGGCGCGCGTCGCAGCGGACCTGGAGCTCACAAACAGACCCCACCGGGCCACGCGCAATCGGACAGTCGGAGCTGCTTACAGAAGGTGGTGATGCTGTTTCTGCTGCTGCCGCTGCTGATGTTGATGGCGATAGTGATGCTGACGATGGTGGTGGTGGTGATGGTGATGATGAGGGTGATGCTGGTGCTGGTGCTGGTGCTTTTGCTAGTGAAGGTGATGGTGCTGATGCTGATACCGACGATGATGATGCTGCTGCTGATGCTGATGATGATGATGATGGTAAAGGTGATGGTGATGGTGCTGCTGGTGGTGGTAATGGTGATGATGGTGGTGGTGATGATGGTGAGGCTGGTGGTGGTGATGATGACGATGACGATGACGAGGACGGTGCTAATGATGTGAATGATCATGACGACGACGATGATGATGATGATGATGATGATTATGATGATGATGATGATGATGATGTTGATGGGGGAAGATGGGGATGCTGATGATGCTTCTGACGAGGATGATGATGAGGATGATGATGAGTAGGGTAATGATGATGCTGATGACGATGCTGAGTATGCTGATGCTGGTGATGGTGAAGGTGGTGGTGATGGTGTTGGTGATGGTGATGGTGATGGTGATTGTGACGGTGATGGTGTTGGTGTTGATGATGGTGATGATTATGGTGATGATGATGACGATCATGACGCTGTTGCTGCTGATGTGTCTGCGGATGATGCTGCTGATGCTGTTGATGGTGATGATGATGATGATGATGAGGATGAGGATGAGGATGATGATGATTCTGATGATGATGCTGATGATGATGATGATGATGATGATGATGAGGATGAGGATGAGGATGAGGATGAGGATGAGGATGGTGAGGAGGAGGAGGAGGAAGAGGAGGAGGCGGCGGATGAGCAGGATCAGGAGGAGATGGAGGAAGCTCAGGCGCTTGTCAAGGGGGTTAGGGCTGCGCTGGCCCTTTCTGCGGCTAGCACGCTCCAGGCGTGCCACAGCGTCAGCCACCGCGTGCTCATCCCCATACCCGTCCGACTGCCATCAAAAGACTTTCGCGGCGGCACCGCCTTAAAACCGAGCCATCAGGCACCTTCCCCGTGCACCTCAGTTGGCACGCGCACCGCAGTCGCGGCGACTCGCCTCGGTGCCCCCTCAACTCCGCCCACGCCGCCCGGCACTGCGAGCGCGAGCTTCCTCCTCTTCTTCCTCCTCCTCCTCCCCCTCCCCCTCTTCGTCGTCCTCCTCCTCCTCCTCCTCCTCCTCCTCCTCCTCCTCCTCCTCCTCCTCCTCCTCCCTCTCCTCCTCCTCCTCCTCCTCCTCCTCCTCCTCCCCCCCTCCCCCTCCCCCTCCTCCTCCTGCTCCTCCTCCTCATCCTGCTCATCCTCCTCCTCCTCTTCTTCCCCTCCCCTCATCCTCTTCCTCCTCCTCCTCCACCACCTCCTCCTCGTCCTCCTCCTTCTCCTCTCCTCCTCCTCCTCGTCCTCCTCCTCCTCCTCGTCCTCCTCCTCCTCCTCCTCCTCGTCCTCCTCCTCCTCCTCCTCCTCCTCCTCCTCCTTCTATGGCAGCTGCCCGCCCGCGCAGCGGAAAGGCTGATGCACAGGCAAGACCGCGTTGAGCCAGACGTGCTGCGTGGAAGACGCATGAGGGCGGAGGAGGACGTAGGGACAGGTGAGGAGAAGCGAGGGGAGAGGGACGAGGTAGGGACGAGGAGAGGGAAGAAGGGAAATGAGCGGGGGGGAGACGGATGAGGGAGGGGGAGGGAAGGAGGAGGGATATGGAGGGGGGCGAAGACGAGGAGGCGGAGGCGGAGGAGGAGAAGTAACCTCCCCCCCACTCTTGCACCCTTGTATTCACCCGTCCCTCTTTGCCCAGCCCGTCCTCGTCCCCTACTCCCTCATTTTCCTTCTCGCTTGCTAATCCTTCTCCTCCCGCTTTCCTGTGAGCGCCCGTCTGCAACGCGCAGCGCTTTGCAGTGGTACACTTCTCTCCTGTGGCGCCGCGCCGCGCCAGACCACCGTTCCTCGGGTTTGGAATCAAATGGCTGTGGACGGAGCGAATCATGATGGCCTCGATAAATCGGACCCCACCCCGCCCTCCCCACCCCACAACCCTCCTCTCATTCCCTCCGTACCTCCCCCCTCCCCCCTACCTGAGCATCCCTCCCCGTCGCTCCCTCGCCCTCTTTGCTCACTCCGTCCCACTCCCTTCCCGCCCTCCATCCCTCCCTCGCCTCCTGTCGCCGCTTTCCTCCCCTTCTGCCCCCTGCATCCGCAGAGCGGCCCCGCGTTGGGGGGGCTCTGGCGGGTACCCGTCGAGTGGATGCCCGACAATCACGTGGTGGGGGTGGTGAAGCACGCCGACGAGGTCCGGGGGCTGAGCTACGTGCACAGCCCTGGCTCCGGCTTCGAGAGGGAGCGTCATCCTCTCCTGAGGGGGGTTGAGGGAGGGAGGGAGGGAGAGGGGGAGGGGCACGGAAAAAGGAGGTGGAAGGCGAGGTCGCGGAAAGGATGGCGAGAAAACATGCAGGAAACGCATCACGAGGAAGACGAGGGGGAAAGCGGAGGAGGGGGCAGGAGGGGGAGGTTGAGGAGGAGGGGGAGGAGGAGGAGGAGGAGGAGGAGGAGGAGGAGGAGGAGGAGGAGGAGGAGGAGGGAGGAGGAGCAGGGGCAGGATGGTGGGGAGGAGGAGGGGGAGGAGGAGGAGGGAAGAGGTGCAGGGGGAGGACGAGAACGGGACGGAGGCGTAGCCCCCTGCTGCTGCCGCTGCTGCTGCTCAGGGAAGCATATGCCGAGGCGAAAAGTGTGCGTGCTTGTTTTTCCTCTCTGGCGGGCGTGGGCCGGCAACGGCGAGGACGTGTTCGTGCACAAGTCCGTGGCGGACCCCGGGTCTCTGACTGTCGGCGACGCGCCTCCAAGGAGGGAGGGGAGGAAGGAATTAGGCGGAGGGATCCCAAGAAGAAGCAGTGCATAAACATACAACTTTCGGAGGTCCGCGCGGATTTCTCGGATCGGCCCTGGACCCCATCGCGGCGCCTCCAGCGCCGCCTCAGGCGCGCTTCGCGCGCCAGCAAGGGGGTACTAGCGCCGATCCAAGAAATTCGCGCGTGCCTCCAGAGCGTTATGCTTTTGCTCTTATTACTACTTCTAGGGGCAAGTATCTCTTCCCCGCCACCGCTTTCACACAGAGCTTTCCCTGCGAGCTCGACGAGCTCCGATGCTGCGAGCTTCTGCTGCCCGGCGGGCCCCGCCCAGCCAGGCGTCCGAGATAGCAGCAGATATGGAGACGTTCTTCACCGCAGTACAGCCAATCGGCCACGCGCAGAGGGGGGGTAGGAGGAAGGGGGGAAGGCTTCTTAGAAGGAGGCCCGTGCCTTCTAGGAAGCAACCTCCTTCTAAGAAGCCTTCCGCCCTTCCCCCTACCCCCCTCTGCGCGCCGCCAGGGCAACAGTGACAGTGAGGATGAGCGACTTTCCAAAATTACCTTTGCATCCTGCCCCTTCGGCCCCTCCTTGGCCACTTCCGCTGGCCGCGCCCCGCTCGAGAAGTGTCGAATCTTTCAATCGTCCATCCCTCGTGTACTCTCTCAGACTGCACGAGCACAGGGGGAAGACTGGGGTGAGGGTGAGGAGCAGGAGGAGGAGCAGCAAGCACCACGGGGAGGTCCTCGCCCTCGGCCTCCGCATCGTCAGCTTCCTCCTCACCACCCTTGCCGTCCGTATGTCAAACAAGCCGACAGCCAGCCGAAAGGGCTCGAACTCTTGGGGCGGGAGGCGGGTCTCTGGATCGGGCGCCGAGGTGTTCTCATGGCCGAAAAGGGGCTGGAGGGACTCGGGGGGCCTCCCTGGGGGGCCTCCCTGGGGCCGCCCTCGGGAGGGATAGGGGGGTCACGCCTGCCTGGAAGCCCCGCCCGCTGCCCGTCTCTATTCGGTTTCGGGCGGCGCACCTGGAGGTCTCTGGAGGCCCTCGGGACCCTGAGTTATCAGTGCTCTGTCAGCTCACAGCCCCCCCAGGACCCTGAGTTATCAGTGCTCTGCCGCCAAAGTCTACGATGATTCAGGGGCGGGTGTGCTTGGTGGCCTACGCCGCGTGTGCTGCATCTCGTGTGGAACATTCGCCTGGGGGGCTGTCAGAGATTTGGCCCAGAGTCGTAGCCTGGCTGCCGCTTGGCCTGGGCTGCGCCAGCAGAGGCGTCGGACTGCTGAGCGCAAGTTCCCCGGATGGCTCACGAAGTTTGTCTGCTGGTTGGAGGACGGGAGAGCTTGAAGTCCTCACAGCACCCGGTCTTGCTCTTCTGGCGGACTCGGTCCGCTCTGCGCGCGCCCTCCTGTTCTGGGGAGGGCGCGGCCCGCCTCCCTGCCGGCGTGAACGGGCAAGTCGAGGAGGAGGGTGCCCATCCTCTGTGGAGGCTGAGGCTTGCCCATCCTCTGCCTGTCTGCTGTCGTTGATCCTTGCTTTGGGGGGGGCTCTGACGCTGTCGGCTCTCTCATGTATGTAATGTCAGCCCTGGGCTTGCGCATTCGCTCAAGCTGCATGTGCTCTGGAAGGCGTAGTTTGCCCGCGCTCAGTCGCAGGCTGTTCCATGCGAGGTGCGATGTCGCACGGCGTGCTTTATTTCGGCTGCACGCGGCAGATCGCAGTCGGAGCGACATTGAGTTTAGTTTCGTTGGCTGCCCTCGGGGCGAGGAGGTGCCACATCCGTCGCCAACGCGCTACGCAATGATGTTTTTTGCCGTGGATGTTGCATCCGCGCTCTTGTCGTTCCAGCTGCGCGAGCAGGCGTATCGAATGGTGCCGCGCACTTCACTTTGTACGCATCGCCTGTCGGCGAGGTCGCCGCGCAGCAGTGTCGACTGACAGCGGGCAGGAGGGCCCTTGCGATGCTGCGTGCCGCCGCCCCTCCTCTGCAGCCCGGTTGCTTCCCCTCCTATCACTCCTTTCTCTTCCTCTCCATCTCCACGGCTTGGCCTGATGCTGCGCTTGCTGGTGCAGTCGATTGTACACAGGTCATCAATACTCGTACGCGCTCTCATCATGCACACCCTTGTTATGATGAAGGTGATGACGATGCTGATGACGATGATGACGACGACGATGACGATGATGCTGATCATCGTCATCGGCCTCATCATCATCATCATCATCATCATTATCCGCATCATCACCATCGTCATAACCATGATCATCATCATCATCATCATCATCATCATCATCATCATCATCATCATCATCGTCATCGTCATCGTCATCGTCATTGTCATCGTCATCGTCATCGTCATCGTCATCGTCATCGTCATCGTCAGCATCATCTTCATCATCGCCCGCATAGTCAGCATCAGCAGCACCGTCAGCGTCGCCACCACTGCCCGTAAGTGGACATGTCGGACTAATCCGTGCTTGATCAAGCTTGCTTGATCTACGGTCGTCGGGGTTTTCGGTCGAGCACGCTGCCGCCAGAGGCGCAGCTGAGGTTTCTCAGCGCGACAAGGGGGAGATGAGAGGGGCACGCCCTCTCAGTAAGGCCGGCCTTCTGAAAGGCCGTCTGTAACGCTTTCGGGCGGGGTGTAGTCGAGGATCGATCCGTTCCAGAGCGTTCCGGAACGCTTTGAGAATACCGCGGCGCCCCAGGCACCCCCCAGAGCCGTGGGATCTCAGAGATTTTCGGTTTATCCCCATCCAGATTTGTCCTCGTCCTGGTGTCGTTTTCCCCCGTGGGCGCGTCGTCGAGAAGCACGCCGCCGCGGCGGTGGGTGCCCTCCTCTCCGGGACGTGGCGCGACGGCGAGAGAGGTGGCGGCAGCGGGCGGCGAAGGGAGCAGCGTCCGCGGTGCGTGCCGCTCACCGCGGCCGTTGGCGATGGCTTCCGAAGCAATGGCCTCCGCCCTCAAAAAAAGATTCGTAATGAGAAGCTGGTCCCAGGGAAGTTGCCCAGACCTCCGGGCCCACGCAGCGAACAGATGTCGACGGCGAGCGAGGGGGGGAAGTGAGAAGGAGAAGGCCTTCTCAGAAGGCGGCGGAACTTTTCAGATGCCCTGGCGCTTTCTGAGAAGGTCTTTTTGGTTTTCGGGGAAAGCTTAGCAAATTGTTCAGAAGGCCGGGTGATTTCCGAGCTTTCTGAGAAGGCCCGCCCCTTCCCACTCCCCACCCGGACGCGCCGCCAAAAATGGGAGCAGCCGGATGCCTGGGCCGTGTGGCGGGTCCGCGGCGCGCGCTCCTGCGAAACGCGGGGGCGCATGTGAGCGACGCGACAAACGGGATCATCTGCGCCGACAGTGGTGCATATAAGCTCCCCGTGTCAGGTCGCGCGTGCGCGCCCTCGCCTCCAATGCAGCGTGCCGCGCCGGCGGGCCGCGGAAACCGCCGCGTGAGGTCGCTGTGCTCCTCACGTGAGACCAGTTTTGGATCGTCGCTCGCGTTTCTCAGTGCGGCCCAGCGCGCCGCGCCCCGGCGGAACGCGCGCCCCCGGGGAAGCGGCGGCCCAAGGCCGCCCGCCAGCCGGCGGGCGCTGGAGCCCACGGGCCCCGGGCAACGGCCAGGGGCGTGCAGAGGGCGGGCAGGGCCAGCACAGCAGGACGGCGGCCAGCAGCCCGGCGAGCAGGAACCACCCACGCCTTGCGACGGCGCGCGGCGGCAGGCAGACACCTGGCGTGGGGTGCGGTTCCACTTCCGCCTCCTCCTCCTTTCCCCTCCTCGCCCGCCTCTTCCTCCTCGCCCTCCTCCTCCTCCTCCTCCTCGCCCTCCTCGTCCTCCTCCTCCTCTTCCTCGTCCCCCACCTTCTCCTCCTATTCCCCTTTCTCCTCCTTCTCCTCCGCTTCCTCCTTCTCCTCCTCCTCCTTTTCCTCTTCCTCCTCCTCGTCATCATCATCATCCTCCTCCTCCTCCTAGCCGCGCGGCCCAGGTGCAGGAGGTGTCGTAGCTGCGCGACACCTGATGCGCCCTGCGCTGCTCTGACAAAGAGGCGTGCCACCGCCCGCCGGTAGTGTAGCTTCACGCTCGTTTTCCCTTCGAACCACATGTATCGCCCCTGGCAGCGCATACCTCGTCAGTGTCTCCGCTGGGTGGTGATTCTTCTGGTGTATTACTGAGTATGCGCGCGTGTGTTGAAATCCTTTCCTCTTTCGGACAAGGGTCGCGAGCTCGAGTTACAGCATGATATTGTTTCAGTAGGCATGATTTTCAGAGCGACGCAGAGACGTGTTCTTGCTTCTTTTCCAGACGTGGCCGAAGACCCGCCACGGTTCAAACCGATCCATTTTGGGTATGACGCCAAAAGTGGGTGCACGAACTCGGCGCGCGGAGTTTCGATGCTCGTTAACAAAAGACGGTCCGAGTTCGTGGCATTGTGCGATTATGATCGGTTCTGGAAGACATGCGTTGTCTTGGCGGTGCGGTTCGCATCAGGTATTCATATCGGGACGTTACGCGCGCGGCATTCGATTTTCGTCCTTGCAGCAACGATCCCCGTGAACGGACGGGGCTGCAGGCAACCATCCACAAGGTGCATGGGCTTGTTCGTCATGTTGTGTCAGGATTGCCCAGCAGGACGGTGCCCATCGTCGTTGCTGACGTCAACGACGGCGTCGGCATCATCAGAGTCCCTCACGGGCCATGTGAACAGGTGTCAGTGTTGCTCTGCAAGTGCGGACGTGCCCTGAAGCATGTGGGCCAGAGAGCTCGCCAGCTAGTTATTTTGGGGTTGTTCTTTGTGAGGATCGGACCATTGGGGCTACTCCGTCGGTTGGGGGGCATTGTCGTGGCAGACGTCAACATGTTCCATACATAAATCACGCGTTTTTGCCTGCTCTGGAGATGCAGAGGCTCACGCAGCCCATGAGATCTGCGCGTTGTCTACAAATCATTCCAGATTCTCGCCCCCGGGACCGCGCACCCTCTCTCTT